AGTACAGTCATTTAGGACTTAAAATGCTTGGCATTTCAAGTAAGCCCCACTATTTGCTGTATTTCCAGCATATGACATGATTCGTTGTGACAGTGTGTTTTGGGGTGATTTTTTTGACTTAGAGTTAGGTTTAGAAGTTAACATCTAGTCACTGAAATGGACCATTATATACTTTGTTCATCCCACTATCAAATTCTAGATTTGTAGAAGCTTTCGATCAAGTCAAAAGTATTTTAATTTTCTCTCTCCTTACTCTACCTATCGATACGGAGTTTGTACTGTAGGAATGCAATGGATTAAAGTAATAGAAAGTAGATGAGGGGATAAATAGAAATAAAAGGTTTAGAAAGAATACAGATTTCTTTGTATGGCTGAATTTCATGGTACTGTATTATGGAAAGGAAAAGATCCTGCAACCGAAGGTAAACAAGTGCAAGCCAGGCTGATGCTAAAAACATCAGAGTTGCATACAGAAACTGCACTAAATGGTAATGAATACACTTCTGTGTATGCTTGCTGTGTCCTGTGCTAGGGCTTGAGAGCAAGTGGGAGACTGATGGTCTTTCAAAGGAGAGCTGCTCATCAGAGAAGTTGTATGGTTTTCTCCAAAAATCACTGCATGATTATCTAACAGTGAGCTTGGTTTCTGTGTAGGCTTCAACCCAGCTGAACCAACCAAAACCCAATTTCTCTACTAACTTGTGGCTTAGGCAGTCTTTCTTAGATTTTGAAATAAATGTTAGAGGATAGGAGGGAAACTTTTGTGGAACATTTAAAAAATGAGAATTTTCTTTTCTCCAAGGTAAGTTCAATTAAATTTTTACTTGCTCTTATTTTTCTGTGTTTTTTTTTCTTTTTTTAAAAAAAAAAAAAAAGAGGTGGGGGGGCAAGAAAGCAAACATCACCTATTAAAATTTGGCTGTAAATCACCTTTGGACTAAAGCCAATAGTATGAATGCTGCATTGTGTTACCATGTGAAAAGCTCCTGATCAGCTGTCTCTCCTTTGGTCAACAGAGACTAGGGTCAGTGCAGAGGGAATAAGAGCATAAGGCAAACTATATCTGCACTAAGAATGTCCTAGTTAGTCACTTGTTCTGAGGAAACTGAATATGCTTTTGAAGTAGATGAAAATTTCCTATTTTCCAGTTGAGGTGGATAGTCCCAATGTACATTTTTAGAAATCCCACTTCCACATGTATTCAGGACTGTGGTCCTTCGGGTATTAAAGTTAAGCTTATGTTGTAAGATAAGGAAGAAGGACACTAAGCTGATTTGAAGAAAAGTAACTTTCCTGCTTTACTACTTGAATTTAGATACAGGAGTTTCTTTTACTATATTTTTTATTATTACTACTACATGCTAAGGCCTGTGGTCTGTAATTCTACACTTTATGGATCAAAAGTTATCTTAAGTGTTTCCACACTAGACAGAATTTCAACAGCTTTGACATCACTGACAATTCTAAGAGCAAGCCATGTGGGTAAAAAGCTGGCCAGAGAGGAATCTGGTAAAATATTAGCAAACAGAAAGAGATCTGCTGCTTTCTGTCTCCAGTCAGAGAAGGACTGATGATTTCTCTTCCATGTTAAATAAAACTTTTCATCTTGGAAGTGTTTCACAAATATTAACTAATCTCCTAGTTGCATAGTCTACACTTAAATGTCCTTCTGAAAAGAAACTGTTTACTTGGTGTTCCTTTAGAAGTGCTGTTAGCCCTAAGTAAATAGCTAGGAACCAGTTTTTAAAGTGAAGACTTCAGTTATGTTGTAGGAGTAAAATTTCCCCTATCTCTCTTTAGTTGCAGGAAAAAAATATGTTAATCTGTTAATCAGCCTGTAGTCAGCAGGGGTCAAATAGAGGATGAGTTGAGCATTTCAGTACTCTAAAATCGTAGGTGCGTTTTCAAAAGCAGTTTAGGCTCTTAACTGTGGTCTTATTAGTTCTTGTTAGCAAAATTGCCTTGAAAGTAAGTAAATAAGCTTGTAAGTTAGGGTGTTTGTCCTTTGTATAGGTGAACAATTCCAAGCAGATATGGTAACATAGAAAGGTCTTTATTCAGTGTTCTCTTGGGACATTTTGGTTTTATATAGTATTTCTAATGTTGCGTATTGTTTCTTTATCTTCTTCTGTGGCACAGTATTAGAGGATTAGCCTTGCTTGTTTGCATTTTCATTGTTTTAAGTGTCTATATTAACATAGTCTAAAATTTTATCCATAGAAAATGCTCGTATACTTGTGATGATGTTCCAAGCACCTAAATAACTTATAGCTCATATTTGTTATAATTGCAGTCAACAGCAACAAATAATATTTCAGAGGAGTAGTTGCAGATGATGAGTGCCAGTCAGTACTTGGTTATTTTGAATTTGGACTTATAAAATTAGAACCTCACTTTTTTTTTTTTAATGAAATTCCCCTGCTCAAATTCAAAAGGCCCCTCAAAACTGAGGGAATCTTTTAAGTGGGTTGTCAATAAGCACCACTGCCTCTGTGTTATTCGTGGACCTATGGACCTCGACTCAGTGCTTTTAACTGAACCAAAAATAAGAAAGAATCTATTCTGCTGCAGCTCCTGTTCAAGCAAAAATAATATTTGAAACTGTATCCATGTCATTTTAGACACAGCCTCCTGAGTTTTTCTAAAATGTTGATGTTGTCATGATGTTCTACTTCATCATGCGACAGATGTGACAGGGGTCTAGGTAACACACTGTAATGGCTGAAATCCTTGCTCCTGGAAAGAAAAGACCCACAAAGGTCTTCATGGCCTCAGTGTTAATTTTATTTCTTAAGCATTCATAGATAACCACTAGGTGGCAAGCTGACCAGCTTGATCTCGTATCAATAGCGTACCGGTGACCAAGGTTTCTCGGAGCCTTTACCACCTGTAATAACAAATGCTATCAAGATGACCCAGTGCAGAGGTTTCATAGTCATGGGTGAACAACTGGTTCAACTGGTAAGTCTGAACAGGAGAATGATTTTGAAAAGGGTACAACCAGTGTCATGTTTAGGACAGAGCTATAAAGCCTCCATTCATTCACTCCATAATTCAGGAATAGTTTTGATTTCAGTTGTAAGTGATGCTACAGAAGTGTGTGGGGGATTTGTTTGTTTTTCAGACTTTCTACCACATTTAGTTGACAGTTAGAACTTATCTTGATAATAACCTATCCTTGACAATTAGTGAAGCTCTTCTTTCCTCTGTGGTTGGATTGTACCTGGAAGCCTTTCATGCTCAGAACATTCCCATTGGTAGAGAATACTGTAGTGGGTGTTTTTGCAAGTACAGTATGCCTATTTCTGCTGCCTGCTTTAGATTCGTGTAAAAAAAAATAAAAACTGAGGTTAAAATATGAATACATTAAATAATAAGGATTAAGTGGCTGGAGTCAAGCACCTGTAAACATGAATTAAAGTTTACAATTAATACGGTGATTGAACAATTCCACTTATCTTACCTAATGAAACCTGTGATAAGATTAAAGTTAATTTAGTTGCAGAGAGTGTTTTCAGAGAATGATATGAGACACTGCAGTGTCGAATCCAAATCCTGTGAGTTTTAAGACTAGTCTCCCTGCTTCCCAACCTAAGATGTTACTTTTTCATGCAATCTTCTCTAGTATACACTAATATTCTAGATAACAAAATGTTCCACTGCATGCACCTTCCTCTGTTATAGGAGATGGAAAGAAACACATATGCCAACGGTAGGTAATGTAGCTTTAATGTACAGTTGGAATGAGTTGAGAGGGAACAGAAAGAAGAGCCCAACAGGAAGAAAATAAGCCCTCCTAAGTGAAAATTTTGGTAATTATGAGATTAGCTGTGTTTTATCTGCTGCTTTATTGGGTTTTACTTTGGGGGGGGCTGAGGAGGGCCATGTCTCCTCCTCTTCCCGGAATGTCTTCTCAAATCCAGATCTCTCATTCCTGCAGATGGGTAAGGGTGAAGTTTCAGGACATTAAGCTTTCTCATTGTTTTTTACAGTTATTAAACTTTACAAATAAAATACTGTTCCATGAAAAGGGGATTCTGATAATGAAAGAGTTTTGGAAGCTCTCTTTCATACCTCCTTGGGAGGAAGATGTTGTTTTAGCAGAGATTATCAGTTAAGGCCCCAGAACTACCTTACAGGCCTTTGGATCATGCTCTCCTTAAATCATTTTGGTGCAGGTCTCATGGTGGCTGGTGAATTTTTAAAACAGATGATCTCACTGTTACAGCCAACTAATGACTAATTTACCACCATTTTACAATGTAAGAATAATCACATCTTACTCTATCATGTTATCCAGTGATGGTGTTGCTTTGATTGATACAGATATTCTCTCAGAAGGAGAGAGTGAACATGTAAAAGGTGGTCTTAAAAACAGATGAGCAGATAATGGTGCTTGAACCGAACAGCCACACGGGTCTTCCAGACCTTCCTTCCTCCTTTATTAAGCAGTCTGGTGCTAACTGTGGATGAATGGGTACGGACAAAGCAAGGATTGAGTTGCGTATTTACTATCAGCTTAGCAGGCCTTAGCGGACAGTTCTGTGTCTTTCTGTTTACTACTACAAAAAGGTTCAGTTGCTCAAAATAAGGGTTTTATAATATGGTATTATGAAGACAATATAGCTAAGAGGACAAAAGTAAACTGAGTATTATCCAGTCTTATGATTAAATAATAATGAAAAACAAGCATAAACACTGTAAAAGTAACTTTTTTCTTTTTTTTTTGAGGAGCGGAGCTTGAAGTTATGTATACAACTGAAATGTCTCAAGAATTTCAGCAAAATATCAAAGCCAATGATAAAGCTGAAATGCCAGCTACACATTTGACAGTTACAGGAGCCAAGCTGGAAGTTCAACAGAAAGTAAAGTCCAGAAATTTGTCTTGTGTTCATCCCATAAAGCCAAAAATCTCTTCCAAAGTGGCAAAAATCCGTAACTACAACATTAAAGACTGACTTCTTTGCTGACAGCAAATTTAATGTTCATACTTGCTATTCATTTTTAAACCCATGAATCGGATTTAGTTATTGGCTCTGGAATTCATTTTTGTATGTAAAGTCGGGATGCTTGAAACCAAAAGAGAGAACAAATATCCTGTTTCATGCTGCAAGCTAAAATCAAGGATTAATCTGCATACATGATAATCTTATGCTCACTATTAAAACTGACTTATTTTAAATATATATGTTAAATATTGCTTGCATCATGGATTTAGAAATGCCCAGTTAATACACATGTAAATCCTTTTACCTCTAGGCAAAGCTAGCAGTTCTTTAACAAATATTTTATTGAGAAACTGTTCATGTGTTTCAAGCTTAGAAGTGGGATGCCCCAACCTACTTGGTTGCATTGTTAATTATAAAAAAAAAACATTAATACTGTGCAGGTATCTTTCCAATTGAAAGAACGATGGTTGAAAAAATTACACCTGAATTTGTATTGCCTCTCATCTTCTATAGTTGTTTTAAAACATTGAGAGAACATG